TTATCCCTGGGAAACCTGATAAAAGAGGAAAAGTTCAGGTTTAATAAGCATCAGAACATGGTCATTTTAGTGTACATGCTTTAGTTGTTTTTTTTCATGTTGTCTTGTGGTAGTTGTCTAACAGAATATGTTGCTGTTATTTTTTTCCCAAGCTTCTCAAACCATGTTTATCTTTAAGAACAAAGCAGCACTTTTGAAAGGGGAATTGGTGTTAATAATGAGTTTATCAAATATTGTTCTGGATTAAATAACATCTTCCACGCACTAAGCATCAGAAACACTTCACTGGGTGGTGGCTTTTGGATGGAAAAAAGCTATTTCTATCTTAGGTGGAAATCTCCTTTTGAATTGTAGTTTTTGGAGCTTATAGTTGGTACATGGCCCATGTTTTGTTTGAATCTACGTTGCTACTATAAAAAAATCTCAATGATTTGATCAAGTCCAGCAGATACAGAAGGTATAATTGGGAAGCTTATATGTTTTTTGTATTTTTATTTATTTTTTAAATTTTCTACGATGGACCAGTGGCCTATCCAGGGTGTATCCTGCTTTGCTTGCTGGGATAGGCTCCGTCTCCCTCACAACCCTATATTGGATAAAGCAGTTAGAAAATGGATGGATGGATGTTTTAATTTTGAAAACTTTTCCTCTGTGTACATCTATAGAATCAATAAGAAGAGATAAAAATCATGCATGATTTCTGTCACATTATGCACTGCCAGAACCTTCAGAGCCATGCACATCCACAGCCATGCACAGTAGCCACAGCAGAATTAACACTGCTCTCACTGACATCACTACAAGCTCACAAGTACTTGACAAATTCCAGAGAACAGAGGATATTCTGGTTGACTCAAGCCCACTAAACCACAGTAGCTCAAAACGTATTGTATAGAACTGCTTGTTGATGCTGTATTCCCTCTCCAGGCTGTACAGGGTTTTTAATTTAACTAAAGTTGCATGGGGGTCTGTTGACCCATGTTTTGCTGTATTTTTGAGTGTGTTCCTGCATTTTGTAAAGTTTCAGGGTTTAATTTAAATTATATTAGGTCTTTATCAGTTAGTCCCAAAACTGACGAAACAGAAGTTTAGAAGTTTAGAAGAGCACCAATGGGGTAAACTGTCCCTGTCTGAGACAGCTTGTCATTTTAATGGGAGCAGAGTAACGCATTAGGCTGTCATTCTCTATGGCCAACAGAAAAAAAGCTTACCACAATACCAAAAGAAAGCTGTTGTTCATTTCTGCTTAAGATTTAGGATCTTTGTATTTAATCAGAAGTATTCATGACATTGGTTGTGGAAGGCATTGGTCTGAAAATGAAACAGGAGAGGAGTAAATGCTAAAAATAGTTTTGGTCTCTTTGTAAAGGTCCTGCTAGCTAGCATCTGCAAGTTTCCCGTACAAAACATGCTCTCAAATTACAGACAAGCTGCTAGCACCAATTTAATTTAAACAACATACTGTACTGTAAGTACTATCATTTGTACAGATCGAATTACACGGACAACACAGAAACATGGGAGAAAGGGAATCTGTTACCATGTGAGCATGAGCTGGATAGGTCATGTTTCCAGATCACTTGGCAGGGTCTGATTCATCATACAAAAATACAGAAAAATACACCTAAGTAAGACACAAAAGACTTTTCTACCAACTGCTACCTTTCAGATTTGTGACTTTTATTATGCCCTGTTGATATCTGTTACAAAAATATTTTTTGGTTATGTAATAACTACAGTAAACATCTTACTTCCTCTGAAAGGAAGGTTGGGCATGAAAGTAATAAAAAGGGCTATCCATCTTTTACAGTGAAAGTGGGAGATACATTTACTATATCTGCTGCATTAAGTGGAGTGTATGTGCGAATACACTTCATGATTACAGTATACAGTATAAGCCACAGTTGCGGTGCAGTAGATCTTAAAAAAAGAATTTCTGTACTGTATGAAGCCACAACTCTTTTTACAACTTACAGATATGACTGGGACATCAAATATACAGTATATTGCTTACAATGGAAATGCATCAGATATCTCTATATATTTATATTTAGATACATAGTGCAGACATCCATTACAGTATTATGTGTTTCAGACTAAATAAGCAGTAATGCAGATCTGGATAGTTCATGAATAATTCTTATGGTAGGTTAATGATATTAAGCTTAGATGTGTTTCCAAAACACATGGTTAAATATAGCCGGTGCCTGCCAATTCACACACCCCCTGCATAGCTACGTTGTGCAATACCAACAGCCTGTAAAGTTTGTTGTAAACGAATCTCCTTGGTGACCACCATGAGGATGATCCTAAGATTTTCCAGAGCTTTATGTAAGAAGCATCATGACCAGTATCGACCTGTCCTGACAGCACTTCCCCTCTGAAGGCCTTGTTTCCATCAGCAGTTGATTAAAGGTGCATGTGTGGCCCACTTGGATGAGTTACAAATGTATTGACTTGTTTACTTAAAATGGAAGCAAACCTTTTGTGACCAGAGTCTTAGAAACACAAGGTCCCTCAACTATAAAGTTGTTGTGAATATGACTGAGTATTATGGTAATATGTAACATCGCTGAATGCCATTCCAGAGGGATGCCTTAAAAACAGACAGCTAAAGGAGCATTTAAATGTACTGTAGCTTAGCTAATCAAGAACCGCACACAAAATAAAATGCTCAGCAGTTCTGAAAATAAGGAATCATACAGTATCTAGCATTGTGAAAATCTACAGGTTTTGAGAAATCATATGTTTTGTTGTAAAATTGTACTGGATGTAATGTTATCCAGTACATCCAATGCAATAGAGTGCATCAGAATGATGTATAAAAAACGGTCTTACTTCTGAAATATCACATCTTACTTCTTTACTGCACTTCCCAGCCCATGCCTTTTCTGGGATTTGGATCACCACATCTATCCATGTTATAACCCCTTTGTTCCATACAGTGTCACAGTGGAGCCGGACCCTACCCCAAGCACAAGGCAGGATACACCCTGGACAGGTTTCCAGTCCATCGCAGAGCACACACAGACGCGCACACACTCACACCAGGGCCAGTTTTTCCCAGAAGTCAATTAACCTACTAGTATGATTTTGGACTATGTGTGGAAACTAGAGCACCTGGAGCAAACACATGCGAACATACTGTAGTAAGAAAAAACAAACTACACACAGATATCACCCCAGGTCCAGATTTGAACCCAGAGCCCCAGCGCTGCGATGCAGCAGTACTAAATTATTACTTAATTATGTGGTTGAAAAAAAAAACCTACTATAAACAAAAGCCTTGACTGGAGTGGATTGGAATGTCCAATGGTATGGAAGATCATCTAGCCATTTTTAAGAAAACAGTATACTGCTGTGCCGTTGTTAGTAATCCATTATTACACTAAATAAGTCTAATTATAGCAGGTTCAGTTCCATTTATAAATGCTGCTCCTTATCCGAGAGGTGATGCCATGTAAATAGCTGACCTCTGACTTCTGTAGGATATTGCCTTGCTAGAATAGAGCAGGGCGTCTGTCTCTTGGAAAGAAGGCTGCGCTCTCCCTCTGCAGTCCTGAAACTTCTTTCTGCTGAACGCTCATCTCTGATGTCAAGTTAATTTTAGCACCTCGCTGGAGTTAAAATTAACCAATGCGGGGCTCTGATTTTCTAGGTGTGCAAAAGTCAGAACACAATAATGTTTGTTAGTTTTTTTTTCACGTACTGTACGTGTCTGCTTTCTGCGACAGCACTGCCTTCACAACTGCAGCACATTGACCACCTAATCACCTAATTTAGTTACGAGGAGCTTTTTTTAGGCAGCTATAAATGGGAAAGGGAAAGGGGATACTGCAATCTCGTGGAAAAGCCATCCCTTTCTTGGTTGGGAGTGAAATATATTTAAACAGTGGTAACAAATGTGTTTCACTTGGCTACACTGCATGCATCCCTGCTGTCATATGCATCTAGTCATATAGTCCACTAGCTAATCAAGGACTGTACATAGTTTCACTTGGGTAAATATAGCTGTTTATTTATATACATGGTGTATATATATATACTGTATGAGTGGAGCTTTGAGTCCTGTTGTATGCTGCTAGAGTTTTCAAACTACATTCCTGCATAATGGGAACCCAATACAGCAGGCTAAGTACACAGATGTTACCACATTTGTTTGACTAAATGGAAACGTGGAATCAGACTTTGAGTTTATCCATAATTTCAGTCATTCTTTTTAATCCTGGAAAAAAATACTGACTTTTTTCACATAAATAGCAGATTAACAGCAAGGAATTCTTGGCCCATACAGTACACTGTTGGTCAATGTTTAGAGCCCCTTACAGACTCCCCCTTTGAAAGTGTATAAATGTCACAGTACTGTACAGAATTAAAAATATAATGATAGGAGGCATAAATGACAGTTACAGACCATTTATATTAAGGTATATTTTACATTACATTTTGAACAATGTTAACAAAATAGTTACATTTTAGAACAATGTCTTTCAACATTCCCATTAGTGACATCAAACACCAGTGACATCAGCTCTATGGTGTAGTCCAAGCTGTTTTTCAGACAGTTTAGGACAACCCAACTGTGCTCAAACAGTGATTTTCAATTTACTGAGGAAGTAGTACTTAGATATACAGTAGGCCTCCTTCCACTAAAGCCTTCATTCATTACTGTAGCTGCCCTAAAATGGATTTTAAACTGACAACTATCCTTTGCAGAGATGTGAACACTGGTGTAACTTGTTCAAAGAAATGAGCACACGAGTAATCTCGCATCTTCATTCTGAATTTGCATTGTATGTTTTTATTGCAGGCATTGTCCTTGATGTTTTATTTGTGGGTCTTCATTAAGTTAATAATAATTAGCTTGAGTTACCTGTAGTGGTTACACATTTAAGTACTGCTACTGGAAACACTTCACAATCAGCTAGCATTCCAGCACTCACACACTTCTGTCAGTCTGCTTGTGGCCTGATGCCTTTCTCTTTCTCCACCTCTCGCAGACAGTGAGATTGTGCCACCAGACTGCCTGCGCCCACGCTCCTTTACTGCTGTGCGGAGGTCTTCTCTGCGCAGAGAGGCAGACGAGGCCCGGCTCTCAGTCAGCCTCTGTGACCTCAACCTTCAAGAGGAGCATCTGCAGCTGACTTCGGCCGCATGCCCGATTCCACAGAATTCTCTCAACTCCCAGCAGTCCCACCTGCTGCCCTCTCACCTGGACAGTGACCTGCACTTCCACCAGCTGCGGGGGGCTCACATAAAGACCCTGGACGAGCAAACAGTGGCGCGCTCTGAGCACACCCGCGAAGAGAGGACTCTGGTGTTCACCAATCGCCCGCTCCACATAGGGGAGACCATCTTCATCAAAATCGCCAAATCCAATATGGCCCGTTCCGGCTCACTGTCCTATGGGGTTACCTCCTGCGACCCTAGTGTGCTGCGGCCCAGCGACCTGCCCTACAACCCCGAGTCCCTGGTAGACCGCAAGGAATTCTGGGCTGTCTGCAGAGTACCCACCCCCCTCCATAATGGCGACATTCTTGGCTTCTTGGTTAACCAAGAGGGCGAGGTCATTCTTAGCCATAACGGCACAAACGCTGGTATGCAAGTCTGCGTGGATAACTCCCGTCCGCTCTGGATGTTCTTTGGGCTTCATGGTGCAGTAGCACAGCTGAAGATTTTGGGTAAGTCTGATTTAAAAGTTTCAAAAACTTCAAAAATTTCATAATCGTGGGATTTGTATGCAACCATTTGATCTGATAAAGCTGTTTACAACATTAGAACATTTATTTTTCTTAATTCCTGAATGAGAGATCATGGCATTACTGGAAACAAGACAGGAAGTGGAGGGGAGGAGGGTTGGTGCTGTGGATAAGAATCAAGTTTTTCATTTGATTTCCATGCCTTTTTAAACGCCATAATCTACAAAAGCAGCATTTCAGGTTTTATTTTAACATTGGGCTGCTGTACACTGGCTGTACTGTTTTTATTAATTTGAATTGAAGCAATGTGGTGATGTATAAAACACAACTCACTATCTACTGAAGTTCAAATTGCTATTTTGAAGACGTAAGGCTTATTATTATTATTAGCATGTGTATTTTATTGTGTTAAAAGCTGGATAAACAAGACTATGAAGAATTGAAAGTGTCTATCCTTGTGTCTATCCTTTTATGGCTGTTTCAGCGCCAAAAATTGTTGCACTGTTTGGCTAATGCAGAAAAACCGTTTGCCTAATGACAGTCCATTTTGACTGTTTAATATAAGCAGTGCCTCATGACTTACTGAAACAGCTTAAAACCAGTTTAATGCTTGAACATTTGCTGAAGGGGAGAGTGAGTCAGCACTCAGGGTGCAGAGGGAATTTTCAAGAACAAAATGCAGACTGACTTTTTAGTAAATACTGTACTATCAATATTTTAAATACTGCTATACATCCATTACCAAAAGTGGAAAGCAGTTATATTTACATTTGTACCAGTTGTCCGTGACAAGGAATTAAATGACATCTAACCTTTAAAAATCAAAGTCGAAGACAAGATTTTGGCCTAAGCCTCAAGGGACTCCACACCAACTTCCAAGGGTTGATGACAATCTCTACATAAGAATTGCTCTCTACACTTACCTTCTGACCTCTGGCATAATGCTTTTTGCTAGTATAACAACAAAGTTACCAACACAGGTCAAACCACTTAGTGGTACTGACATCTTCCCCTCTAGTGCTGCCATGCCAGTATGTTAGAGATATTCCAGCAGACAGGCCTTTTATTAATGTCACTGGCAACCTCACTGACTCTGATCTACATCCACATTTGCATCAATATAAATGTCAATTGTGGGTGGAAGACCTGGCCATATAATTGACAGATTGTCACCACTGGCAACAGAAACAAAAGAAAGCACTTTAGACCCCTTTTTTGACCCATGGTTTTGCATGAATCAGGTTACTTAGGCAAAAATCCCACTTTCACCTTCCGATTATTGTATAGTCAGCACATTTTTTCTTGTGCCTTTTCATGGTTTCCTTTATTGTCTACATTTAGTCAGCAATGAAGTTAATCTAAGCATAAAAAACATTTTTTATTACTGTAATAGAAATATTTTTTTCCTCCAAACCCTTATCTTAGTCATTGTATGCAGTGTCCTTGCTAGTTTACTGTCCTTTATCCATTTTATAATTTCTGAAACTTAAATTGGGAAGCATCCTAACACGACTGATTTCTTAAGAAAAATGTAGCTACAGCACTTGAGAAGAAAAAACATCACGTTTGTTGTTTAAATCTTCATCCACTTTACAATCGTCTACCTGTCTATTGAAACTAAGCTAGAACTACCCTTCTCAAAGGCAGGTACTATTGCATATAGAAAATGTGTCTTCTCTATAAGTTCATGATTTAAGGAAAAAAATGTAGTAACCACCTTTTACACCCTTTAAATGTTTAAATGGTAAAAGGTTTACAATTAGAACTCTGAAAAACAGACTTTTCTTGATTATACGAGCCCACTGATGTGAAGCTCATCAGGGAAATCTGAGGTGTTTCAAGAATTTGATATCAGCAAAAGGGTAAAGTTAGCCCCTATGAATGATACAACAGGAGCATACTTAGAAATATGCTTAAAATGTTTCCAGGAATAATTAATAAAATCACTTGAGATCCTTACCTTTAACATGTACTCTACTGTACATACACAGGCACACATGTACAGTAGATACAATACATAACTGGAATCCATGGATTGAACTGAATTGCAGTGTAGATAAGTAGTTCAAGTAGGTAGCTAGATCAGTGTGCATAGGCATCAATGGAACAAGTAAAGGTTTATTCCATGCTGAAAAGAGACGAAAAGAAAGACAATATTTCATCTGTGGAGCCTTTTTTGGGTGTCGGGTGCAAGAAAACCCTGTGTTTCTTCTCTTTTCAACATGGAATAAACCTTTACATGTTTTTTAGATACTGTATGTAGTGCCTGTATGAAGGAACCAACCTGGCTGTGGCTACACTCTGATAAATTAAGAGTGTGGAGGTTTTGTCCCCAGATGGTGATAAATATGCTAGAATCTGATGTCCAAAAATGTTGTGTGTGCCAAGGAGCACAATGTAATTCATTGGGAAGAAAGTGCCTAAAGTCACCCCTATTGAGCCTCAAAACATATGTTGTGTGTTGCAAATACTGTAGGACATTCCAGTATGTCTACAGTATCACAGCACTACATTAGGTACATCTACTGTCCTTTACTTTTAGGATGAGCATTCGTTCTGTTATTAAACCTTTTTAATAAAGATGCTCTTGGACCAATAATAAAGTCAGCCCTGTTAATTCAGTCATATTGTTAAGTAAAGTGTTTAAAGAAGACTTGATATACAGTACCCATTAAATGTCAGAAAGGTCATTTTATTTGCCATTTTATGCCAGAAATGGGGAAACTGCATTCTGGTGATCTAAAATCACTTACACACAGAGATTAAGTTACTGTATTTAACGTGAATTGGAAGGTTTTCCATACATGCTGTATTGGACAAGAAAATAGCATTGTTGTTAATTCCAAAGTGACAGTGTTTGCCTTTTTAGTAGGCTTCATGATCTTGTTAGCGAGATGTGCAGTAAGAATTCTAGGCCATGATGAAGTCAGTCAGTGTGTTTAGCGGAGTGCAGCAATGTAAGCTTCAGCTCCTTCAAGCATGCATATTCACAACTACTGTACAGTAAATCTTTCCCTGGTTGGTTCACTGAACTTTGAAGGTCGCCTCATACGCACCCACAACCTGCACTTCATTAGTTTTGGAACTTAAACTGGCTCTTCTCGTTCTGCTCCTGAGCTGGTACTGCGGGTTAATTCTGTGAAGGGTGAAACGTGGAACCTGATGGAAACCAGTGACAAAAAGCATCACACAATCTTTTTTGCCGAGACAAATCTTTCTAGGTACAGTATATTGTACTTCAGGACCTCTACAGGTTTCATAAGCTCTTTCTGAAAAGTATGTCATAAACAACATTCAAGAACTCAACAATCTCTGAGTTTCTAAGGATTTGGAAAAAATAGTGTGATAAACGTTTGTTTTGTCACATTTGCTTGGGCTTTATTGTTTAACATTGTGAACTCATATGTAACGTTAGCATTAAAATTTTTAGCAATAGGTACTGTACAGTATTTGTTTCAGATAAACCACAGGTCTAAATAAGACTCCCCTGAGTTTAATAAAAAACTGACAGAGGCTTCCACAATTCTCCTTTTCCTAAGGTTTCTTCCCCGTGTCACCCAGAGGAATCCAACTGACCTATTGAAAAAGGCTTGGTGTCTAAAATCTACATTTTGATAATGGAGGTTCCTATCAGGGACTCCAGTAGTCACCTTTTTGTTAACTGTTCATCTACTCTGCCTTTGCATTTCAAATTTCCAAATTATGAGGTAGGCCTGTGGTTTATGATATAGGAGGGATGCTATGCAAATGGTAAGAACGCACATTATTTGAAACTCAAAACCAGTTAATTTAGGGCATGGCTTTTGTGGAGAGAATTTACACTTCTGTCTTGTATCTGGCGTCAGTAATATATCACAACACTGGAGGCAATTAACATTCAATTTGTCTAATGATTTCCCATTCAGCAAAGTTAGAGGGAAATAGCAAGAGATGAACCATTTCCAGGCTGCAAAAAATGAACCTTCTCGAAAGCTTGTGCATTAATTGAAGCCAGATTCCTTTATTTGATTAAAAAGCTAGCATTGTAACTGTTGAGTATGGATGAGCACAGTCTGCTTGGAACACATCCATGATAAAGACAAATATTAAAATAAATAAAATCAAAGACTAGAAAAAATTGACAATAGGCGTTATTGTTGAAGCTTATACAGTATGTTCATATCAAATGGTCAGTTAACTGTGAGCAGCTGTAGAGTGTTAAGGCCTCCTTGCATTTGCTGGGCCTTGTACCGATTATTGTTGTTAACACTGTGGTCAGGCACACTTGGCTTCCTGAAACTGCTCAGTCTTAAGGGGAATATTGCACGCTGTAACTTAGTAAAGTAGCTGTGTCAGCATGCGTAGACTGCAAAGGAACAGGTAAAGGTCTATTCTGTGCTGAAAGGAAAAGAAAAGAGACACAACGGTTCAGCTTTGGAGCCTTCTTTGGCTCCACAGCCAAAAAGTTGTGTGTCTTTTTTTTTCAGTCGGTGTCATATCTCCTCAACCTGATGATAATATTAATAAAATTGCTTACACTTATGAAGGCTTTTCTGGACACTCCACTCAAAGCTCTTTATACAGTAGGTAATTGGGACCCCCCTCCATCACCACCAATGAACAGCACCTGGATGATGCGACGGCAGCCATAGTACACCAGTACGCTCACCACACATCAGCTATTAATGGCAAGAAGAACAGAATGATGAAGGCAATTCATAGATGTGCATTATTAGGAGGCCATGACTGGTAAAGACCAATGGGAAATTTGGCCAGGACACTGGGTTTAACACCCCTACTCTTTCCAAAAAACACCCTGGAATTTTTAATGGCCACATAGAGTCAGGGACACAGTTTTACATCTCATCCATAGGATGGCACCTTTTTATAGTATAGTGTCCCCATCACTATAGTGTGGACTTAGGACCCATACAGACCAAAGGGTGAGCACCCCCTGCTGGCCCCACTAACACCTCTTCCAGCAGCAACCTTAGTTTTTCCCA